GTGTGGGGGTGGTAGTGGAGTGTCCTCCATCTGTCCTTGGATATTTCTAACTACTGTCAGTTTTGTTCCACTTCACATAAATGTAACAAAGGAACTTCATTAAAAACAACAAAAACCCAGGCCCCAACCCTGCAAACAGCCAACACCAAGTGGTCTGTGGATCCATCTGTATTTCCCATGTGTATTACAGAAGCCTAACCACTGCTTTCTGAAGTTCAAAATGTAAGAAACCTCACTCTGATGCTTGACTGCATCTTTTTCCTTCAAGAATACTTTCCCTTACAGCACCAGAGAAAGAAAGAGAAAGAAAAAACTATTGAAACATGATATTTATTTCCCAGTGTAGGATGATGCTTTTAGGGTAAAGTTAACACAAACCATTTGATGAATAGGAATTGGATGGATCCAAGACATCTCAACACACAAAACTTGACAACACTTAGCAAAGTCAGAACTTCTTCATTTTTACACCATTAGATAGTCTGCTACTCTGCATAATCTTGCAATTTTGAAACTAAATCACTCTGTAGAATAGACTCTGTGACAGTAACTTGGCCTCACTGCTGCCAAAACCTGGACATACTATCCTAGGAGCCACCTACCTCTGCAGAGAAAGGACCTAACTGACATATATGCCACTATAAGGGAAAGAGGAAAAGTAAGGTCATCCTGAAAAGGGCATGAAATATAGATGAAACACTGAAAATAAAAGTCAGAAAACAGTTGCACTCGTTATAAAGTATAACAAATTAGTATCTTCAAGGAAACACATAGCCTATCTGTATCTATAAAGTGCAGATATTATAAAAACAAATCCAAATTTTCATGTTTAGAGCCTCTAGTAAACTTCTCTAATTGTTTTTATGTTGACTTTCTATTTCTTTGCAGATCTTACAGGTGAACAAGGTGATGTCCATCTTGTTTTATGTGATATTTCTCGCATATCTTCGTGGCATCCAGTCTACCAACATGGATCAAAGGAGTTTGCCAGAAGATTCAATAAATTCTCTTATTATTAAACTCATTCAGGCAGACATTTTGAAAAACAAACTTTCTAAGCAGATGGTAGATATTAAGGAAAACTATCAAAACATGGTGCAGAAAGCAGACACTCAGCAAGACATCGATGGAGATGAAAATGTGAAATCAGACTTCCAGCCAGTTATCTCAATGGATAGAGACCTCTTAAGGCAGCAGAGACGCTACAACTCTCCGCGAGTCCTCTTGAGTGACAACACGCCGCTGGAACCACCGCCGCTGTACCTCATGGAGGATTATATTGGAAATTCAGTGGTGGTGAACAGAACCTCCCGGCGGAAAAGGTACGCTGAGCACAAGAGCCACCGAGGGGAATATTCCGTTTGTGACAGTGAAAGTTTATGGGTCACGGACAAATCGTCTGCGATCGACATTAGAGGACACCAGGTAACTGTTCTGGGAGAAATTAAAACAGGCAACTCTCCAGTTAAGCAATACTTTTATGAAACGAGGTGTAAAGAAGCCAAGCCTGTAAAAAACGGCTGCCGCGGCATTGATGACAAGCACTGGAACTCCCAATGCAAGACATCCCAAACTTATGTTAGAGCACTGACTTCAGAAAACAATAAACTGGTAGGCTGGAGATGGATAAGAATAGACACCTCCTGTGTGTGTGCGTTGTCAAGGAAAATAGGAAGAACATAAATCTGCATCTCTTTGCTATATAAATTATTACTTTAAATTATATGATATGCATGTAGCATATAAATGTTTATATTGTTTTATATATTATAAGTTGACCTTATTTATTAAACTTCAGCAAATCCACAGTATATAAGCTTTCTCTCTCAATAAACAAGAGCAAAGGGTGCGTGCCTCTGTTGTGGGCAACTCCGGGTTTTTTTAGACTATGTTTGTGACACTGCTTGTCAGCAACATACCATAACTTTACTGTAAAATCTGTGTAAAATCAGTATTTTTCATTCAGTATTGTCAAGCCAGTGACTGTCATTTAGTAAACTTGTTAAAAATCAGATCAATGTCAAGAGTTGTGTACATATTTATACTCCCCGCTCTATACATCCGCATTTAATTGGATGCAGTGTTAACTCCTCATCGCTAAAACAATAATGGACCAAAATACGTGTTGTAGCCTGCAGATCATGTCAACGTTACAGGCATCAAGCAGCCGTAAAATACAATTTCTGTGTATTACACCAGTTTTGCCAGGGAAATTACAATTTTCCCTCTGTTAGCATTTCAGAATGACTGCTAATAATCCAGCAACTTTTGTTTATGTTTTTGAAGCACATTTGTTTTGCAACTGTTTCTAATGCTGCCAGTTCGTCGTAGAAAAAATATGAAAAAAATCTAAAATATTTGTAGCAGAAACGTACCAAAGCCAAGAACCAATCTAAATGGATCGTTAATATAATACATAAAAGATGACTTCTTCAGAATTTACTATTTATTGTGATCAGCCTCTTCCTCCTCACACGAATCAATTATCTTCTGCTTGCGTTGTTGGATCATTCCTCTCTGTCTGAGTTTTTAAATTAGAAACAAAGCTGGTGGTGTCTTAACCTTTAAAAAGCCCTTGGCTTGCAAATTGCAGTAAAGAAAGATATGATATCCTGGCATGGATATCAAAGCCACACACTCATACGAAGCTGTTGTTCTTCTCAGCAATCCATTCTCCATTTTTTTCACAGAGGGAAAAATTCATAGAACTGCTCGACAAACCTGGTACCTTTCATAGGGATGTGAAATAATAGATCTTTTTGAGCAGTACAGTGACTAATATCCAGGTAATCTGTAGCTACAATGTTCTTCAATTATACAGGTGAGTCGTTACTTAGGACAAATGAACGTGCTAGCATATATATACCTCAAACTCTTCTTTGTATTGTCATAGCTCCACTGGGGACAGCGATAATTACACCACTTGAAGAGATGGGCTATTATACATTAGCTGTACATTGCCCTGGATGGGATCCCATGGCTATCAACAGAATTAAGACTGGACTGCATATGCTATCTGTGTCTAGCTAGATCTTAACACATAGGGCTGAAAAATGCCAGCCATTCAAAAAGCATTACAGATGTAATGGTCTTAGGTTTTTACACGACAGCTTTCACTGTTGTAGCGTGTTCAGCATCACAAATGAAAACGAGATCGGAGCGCCCAAAACCAGAGTTGCAGGATGTCTCTGTTCATACAGCTTTCATTACTGGAGAATCAACTTCAAATCTGCAACAGACCAACAAAGGCAGCAAATTGTGTGGTCTCCTCTAATCCCTCACAGAGAGCATTACACATCATAAAACCACTGGAGAACTGGACAGGACGCTCATGAGGCCAAGCACTAGAAGAGCAGTGCCTCTGAAAGCCAGGTTGGAGCTTATAGGTATAATTCTTTAGGGGAGGGGCCATAAACGAAGATTTTGAGAACCATCTCAATTTTCAACATGAGACCAGGGCATTTACCTCACAGGAAATATCATCACCCCACAGTACTAAATTCTAACTTTGCTTCAAGAAATAATAACTTCAGAGGTTAAATACCAAGGCAGTCGTTAAAAGGAAAGAGAGGATGTCATATGACAAAGAACTCAGTATCTGATAGATCTGACTAGAATTTTTCCAGCATTCTCCTTCCTTGGCAAATGTTTTTTAAAAAAAGGATCCTCAACAGAGCTTTTGTTAGTTTTACTAGTAGGAAAGTTTGAGTTCCAACTAAATTTTTCTGCTTGGGGGAACAAGCACATTGGTCAGAATCCTGCCCCACTGAAATATTTTGCAAGTTAAAAGCCTAATTTTACACCCTGAATTCCCGAATATAGATCATTTTCAGATGCTGTAACTGAGAGCAGATATTGCCATGGATCATTAACTTTAGATATCTCCATGCTTAAGTATGCCAGATAGGTCTACCTCCATATAAGAGGAAGTAAGAAGACTAACTTAGTTTGGTTAAATCCCATTAATCAGAAACTACCTTTTTTCCTACACTGTGGATGCCGTGCTTGTTTATATCACTCTAAATCCAGAGAAATTCTGTTGAAGACAAGTGAGAAAATGTAGGTTTATAGTAATGTAAACAACATCAGAGTTGATCCTGATGCCTTTATTTCAGCTCACTGAAAATCAAGGGAGGTTCAGTATTTATACGTTCAAAGAAAACAATTTGTCATTTTCCACTGCAAATCCAGTAACAGGACCTAGTCTTTGACTCTTAACTTTACCAATGCACCAAATATTTTACAAGCGGCCAGCACAAAATGTATCAGAGTAAACACAGCGCCTGTCATCTGAAACACATTAAATGAGAAAGAAGCATGGCGCGTAAGGTTATTAGATCGGCTGCCTCTTTCCCACCCCAGTATAACAATGAACGGAAGTGTTACCCTCTGGATCTGATCCAGTTTCCACTGAAGTCAATGGAAAAATTCTCACCTTCTCCAGTGAAAGCTGGAGTGAAGAAAAACCTGCAGATCTCACCCAGAGAGCGGAGCAATCGCACACATCAGTTACGCGTTCTTGTAAATCCTGTGTACACATAAGATGCTGTATAATTTTGTAACAAGTTTGTAAACAAAGCCTGTAATAAATTTGTTAAGGCCTAATTCTGTTTTCGCTGTAACCGGGGATGGTTTTATCGTCAACTTTGGTCATGACACAACGGATTCAAAGTTCCTATCCAGCTTTTTTGTATGTGTGTTAAGTAATTAAGGAAAATACTCAGCTCACAACGCTAGTTTAACTTCAGTATTCTGAAACTCACTCCCATTAAGCAGCTCAGATGCTCTGTCAATATTGTTTTGCCAATAGATCATTATAAACACACATTTTATTTAGCTTTTCTCCCAAACGACTGAAAGCCATTCTGAAATTGCCTCTCTGTGTCAAATTGTATTTTCTCCATTTTTTCCCTATTTTTTTTACAGTCCATTTAGTAACAGTAAAAAATGCTCCACTGAGGTTTTGGGAAACCATCTGCATTTATTTTATCACCTTTGAACATGTGTTCAGGAATGAAGTCTGTGCAGCGAGTTTACTGCTACCAAGAGATTTGTGCGGCTGCACCAGGAAGAAACTTTGACTGGACTATACAGAGTGTGTGCTCAAAACCGCCCTGCTCATACTTTGTTATTTCAGTGCTTTAGCAATCAGAGTCTTTCGCTCGGCTATACATTGTGTAGCTGCAGACAATACCAAACAGGAAACTAAGTCTGATTGGGAGCTCCAAAATTAAAAATTTAATGATAATGACCTGCTATTTCTGACCTTTCAGCAAACGCATTTGCGTGGCGAATTAAAGCACATAACTGTTCATTTCGTTTAATAGAAACATTGTGGCAAAATCAATCGGATTCTGCCTTCTCCACGCTCGGTACGTGTATGTAATCCATCATGCATGTGGTAGGGGGGGCCGAGGAAGAAAGAGGAGGAGGAGGAAAGGATAATAAGCACTACAGCTTGTGAGAAGTAAAAGGCTGTGCTCTGGGTTGGAGCATTTTAAAGTGTGGAGGGGTTGTTTTCTGAAATGCTCTGCCTGTATTTTGTTACAGCAGATGGCAGAATGACGAAGCAAGCACAGATGTGGTGTAAAAAAGTCAAGCAATATAAGGATAACAAAAACTTCCCTGGGAAAGTCGGCCATTCGCTACCTCTGTAGGTCCGTGCAGTTCTGTGCAGGTTATTGCAGAGCTCAGCAATGACATTCCTAATTTAATTATTTAACTGACCTCTGTGGCAAAAGACGTATTATTTTCCTGAAACTTATTACATTCATCAGCTGGATAATTTTTTTTTTTCTTGTAATCGCCAGCTGCTTTGGTACCTCTGATGAACAGCAAATGGTAATGCTTTCCATGAAGGTCTCCAAATATAGATTTCGCCTTTGTTTTACTGCTGAGCTTTGAAGCCAGCGGCACCTGAAAGCCATACTTTCACTACGGAACTGGCCTTTTGATGTCATGACCTCATATTTCCGGACATTTTGAACACAGAGTCCTATTTTGGAGCCGATAGCCCCACAATTAGGTGAGATCATGACCAGGCTGCTCTAAATCACACTTAAGAAGTGGCTGTGCACACAGCAACCGTGGGCAGGAAGAGAGTGAGGAAGCCCTATGCCATCTTTATGCATGTACCTTCCCAAATCTCCTGCTTTGCCTTCAGTCTTGAGCTGTAAATTCAAGGGCTGCATAATCAAGGGTTGCTTCCTTCCTATCCAAGGGTTGAGATGCCTAGTAGACCTTTGAGAGAAGGACGATTTCTCAGTTCTCATTTTTTGCCCAGAAGTGTGTATTACGTGAATCTGGATGGACCTTCTGTAAAAGGATGCTGTGGTTTCAGCATGTCAGTTGTCCCCTCTCTAAAACACAGCATGTTGTTACTATTTACCTGTGTCACAGGGAGGAGAGGAGCATCATCGATAGATCGGCTCCATTATTTGTGAATTACATTGAGACTATGTGACAGAAAACACTAATGTGTCCAGGGGAGGCTGCTAAGGAAGAAGCTAGGATGCTCCTTTTCTCTAAGCAAAAATATTTGCATGGAGGGTGGGAGAAAAGGAAAGTAAGTAGTAAAAAAAACAGGGAGTCATAGCTGTTGGGTTGCAAACATCCTACCGAGATTTGGGAGAGCAAGGGAGAGAGATTGTTCTACTATAACCTCCGATGAAAGGCTCTTTCCTGCTCTAAGGGTTAAAGAAATACCGTTAGA